CCCTCAGTTGTGCAAACACGCAGCTCGTCAGCGCCACCTCGCCTGCAATGGCAAGCCATGGCCTACCCTCCGCCTTCGCCTCTCCTGTACCTGCACTCACTGCTTCCTCACCCTCCTCCGCCTTTCTCCAGTCTCCCTCTCAGCTACTATCCTCGCCAGCAATGTCAAGCCATGGCCTCCCCTCCGCCTTCGCCACTCCTGCACCTGCACTCGCTGTTTCCTCACTCTCCTCCGCCTTTCTCCAGTCCCCCTCCCAGCTGCTCACCTCGCCAGCAATGGCAAGCCACGGCCTCCCCTCCTCCTTTGCCTCTCCTGCACCTACACTCACTGCTTCCTCACACTCCTCTGCCTTTCTCCAATATCCCTCCCAGTGGTATTTCCTAACCATTGTGGATGATTGGAGCAGACTCATGTGGGCATATCTGCTGAAACAAAAGGACCATGCCGCCTTCACGATACGGGAAGATTGGCTGCCATTCGTGGAAAAGCAAGCGGAGTGTCTGGTGAAGCGGATTAGGACAGATCGGGGTGGTGAGTTCCTTGGAGCTAAGATGACGGCCTGGCTCAAGAAGCAGGGCATCCAGAGGGAGCTGACCACGGCTTATACCCCACAGTCTAACGGTGTAGCAGAACGGGCCAACCCGACAATTCTGGAGACAGCTAAGGTGCTGCTCATAGAATCTGGGCTGGGCAAATCGATGTGGCCCCATGCTGTCCGGCACGCTACTGTCACTAGGAACAGGGTGCTCACCAAGGTTGGGGATGACTCGTGGGTGCCGTTGGAGAGGTGGCTTGGGAGGAAGCCGCCGGTGGACATGCTGAGGGTGTTCGGCTGCATGGCAGTCGCCCACTTCCCCAAGAAGTATCGAAGTAAGTTGGGGACGAGTGCGATCTGGTGTGTACATTTGGGGCTGGCTGCTGAGAGCAAGGGATGGCTGCTGTGGGAACCATCCAAGGGTGTGTAGTTTGACAGCAGGGATGTGAATTTTGTTGAGGGCATGATGTGTGGGAGCTTGGAGAAACAACCGGAGGCCAGGGTGTCCCAGAAGATGGAGCAGATCACCATGCAGCTGGACTTGACTCCTAGTGTCTGGGAGGAGGGAGAGGAGGCAGCTGCAGAGGGTGGTGATGGAGAGAAGGTACAGAAGGCACGTGCCGATGGAGAAAATGGTGTAGAGACTGGCGGAGCACTAGTGGAGCTGCTGGATCCGAGGGAGGAGAGCAGCAGCAGGGGAAAACTAAGCCGTTATGAAGGGATGGGAGACACCCGTCTCCAGGCCATGACGTACCCGTATGGCTACAAAGAAGTTGACTGAAGGATCAAGTGTAGCAGAGCAGCAGCTTGGGACCGAGGAGGCATTGCTGATTCTACCGCATGGCTATGACCCAGATGAGGAGGATGAACCTGCCTACTGTTTTCTTGCCCCTGCACTAGAGGAACCAGCTAGCATGGAGGAGCCATTAGCTGGACCAGAGAGGGAGAAGTGGCTGGTAACTAAGGATGCTGAGTACCAGAGCCTCCTAGAAAATGGGACGTGGTATCTGGTGGTGCTGCCTGAGGGGAAGAAAGCCGTACAGTGGAAATGGGTGCTAAGGATCAAGGCCGATGACAAGGGACAGCTCACCATCTACAAGAGTAGGCTGGTGGCTAAGGGGTTTACGCAGAAAGAAAATCAGGACTTCAATGAGATCTTTGCTCCCACTGCCAAACCCCTTACCCTGCATGTCTTGTTGGGAGATGCAGCCGTTAGTGGGAACTTCATCGTTCAGATGGATCTATCAACGGCATTTTTCAATGGGATTTTAGAGGAGGATGTGTACGTGACGCAGCCGCCTGGGTATGAGGATGGTACAGGCAGGGTGTGCAAGCTGAAAAAGTGCATCTATGGTTTGAAGCAGGCGCCACGCTGCTAGTACCAGAAGTTGGCAGCTATTTTAGAGGAGATGGGATTCAGGACCAGCAGCTGTGATGAGAGCCTCTTTCTCAAGGGGGAAGGGGAGAAGCTGGTGATGTTTCTGGTCTACGTGGACGACATTCTTCTCTTTAGCAGCAGCATGAAGGAGATTCAGAATGTGCAGCAGTTGATGGAGAACTTCAAGTGCAAGAACCTTGGGGAGGTAAAGTACTACCTCGGGATGCACGTGGAGAGGGATCCAGATCACAGGTGGTTGAAGCTGCACCTGGAGAAGTTCATCAAGGAGTTGGGGGAGAAGTACGGGATTGAGAATGAGTGCAAGGTTGCAACTCCCCTGCCAGCAGAATTCAAGCTTGTGAAGGCTGCAGAGGATGAAGGGGTTGAAGCCGAGGAGCAGCAACAATTTCAGTCCTTGGTGGGCAGCCTCTTGTATGCAGCGGTTCACACAAGGCCCGACATCTCTTTCTCTGTTGGGCATCTGCACAGGTGAAGCAGAAAGGGGTTGAGGTGCTGAAAGAGAAGGGAAAGCGGCTTGGAGAAAGGCAAGCTGTTTCTCACTTGCTTAACCGATGCTACGTGGGCTTCTAAGAAGGAAGATTCCTCATCTTTGGGAGGATACATCTGTGTATTTGGGGGAGGACCTGTAAGTTGAAGGTCAAAGAAGCAGACGGAGACGGCACTCTCTTCCGTTGAATCAGAGGACATGGCGATGCTCCATGGGGTGAAGGAGGTGATTTGGATGAGGAGGCTGTTAGAGGAGATTGGCCAGGAGCAGAAGGTTGCTACGCCGCTGTTTTGTGATAGCAAGGGGGCTCTTGGGATGGCCAGGAACGCTGTGCTTCATGCGTATCAAGTGGCAATGGCTACGTAAGGAGGTGAAGAGGGGGATGGTGAATCCGATCTACATCAAGACTCACCAGCAGCCAGCAGACTTCCTCACCAAGAGGCTTGCGGATGAGCCTCATTGGCGTTGTGTGCGCATGAACTAGAATGGAATGATAGGGATGCAGCCCGCAGGCTGAGGGGGAGTGTGTTGGGTGCAAATTCACATTGCACGACATCCTGCCGTGTGGTTGTACGAGTATGCGTGAGCGAATGCATTTGGGTGTGAATGGAATGTTCGTGTGTTTGTTTGCTTTGGAAATTTTTGCTTGATGCATTTGCAGGTACTCGCGCAACATGCGCTTCGGCACAACATTGTACGCGCTATGAACAGTGCAAGCAGAAAGGACGAGCTTGCAAAGGAACCCAAGATGGAAGCTTTGCGGTTCGGTTGAATTGATTGCGCAGATTCAGTTCTATCCAACTCGAAATTGTACTGTTTTGTTTGGTTGACTATAGTGTAGCAGGGCAGGCATAATAGGGGTACAATTTGGGTGAAGGTTGGATGATGCTTGTCTATATCTGCATGCTAGAGGGCCAGGGGAAACCTGCAGAACGAGCATTTGGCTGGTTGGGCAAAGACAAAACAGATTTTGTTTTTAGGATCTGAACCTGGTTGTTGTTTTTCCAGGTTGGAAAAACAGAACCAGAGGTTGGTTACCAACCTACCACCTGCTGTTTTGTTTAGCCATGTTGGTTTTGTTGCTTGGAATTATTTGGGATCATCCCTGGTTGTTCCTCGGTTGATTCCCAAGGTCCTTGTTAGCTAGAACGATTTATTCCTTCTCTGTTTGTACCTGGATACATTCAATTCGATTCAAGCGAATTCCTCCCTTCCTGGAATTTGGTTTCTACGCTGTACGATGGCAGAATGCTACCCGAGTCAACGCTAGTACGCTAGCACTTCGACGCTAGGCCAACGCTGTCCGAGCCATAACTCTGTAATGGCAGAACTTTTTGTGAGGCAACTTGGCTTATTTTAAAGCTCTTGGAGCGAGCTTCGATATAGGAAATTCTCAGCTTAATCCGATTGACGTTTTGCACGATACGTTGCGCGACGTAGAAAGTACTCTTGTTATTTTGGCTAAGTCATTCTTGACTCCTCTCTCTACAAACTCGGAACCGAGGACAGGGGCGGGTCTTGTACCAGGCACTCAAGGACCCTTGGAGGTGACCTCGAGGAGAGGTTTTAAGTTTGTTAAAGTCCTAATAGCTTGAGTTTATTAGGCCGTTATAGCAAAAAAATGATCTAGTCTCATTAAGATATTGTGTTTACATGAATCATGACAAGAAACCATGCGGCGAAAACCAGTTTGACGTTGAAACGGTAGCCGGTGTCGCGCATGTCTGTCCTTGCATAGTCGTCCCAGCTTTGTTGTTTGGAACTCTGTATCGTCCTACTCCGTGATCCTTTAGCCGCCAGATTGTACATGTTCTCCTCTAAATATGATGAACATGTACTTGAATCATAACAAGAAACGGTGCGGCGAAATGTGCGTTCTCCACCTAACGGTAGCTAGAGTAGCGGAGGCATGTCATTGCACAGTTTTGCTTGCCATCTTGTTTCTAACACCGTATCGTCCTACTATGTCAATCGTTTGGCACCAACGCAATCCAGTCTCCTTAACATATAGTGTATACAGGAATCATGACAAGAAAATGTGCGGCGAAAACCTAGTGTATTACGTTGAAACGGTAGCTGGTGTCGCACATGTCTGTCCTTGCGTACTCGTGCCATCTAGTTGTTTGGTACTCCGTGATCCTCTTTCCACCAAATTGGTCATGTTCTCCTCTTAATGTGTTGTATACTTGAATCATAACAGAAAACTGTTCGGGCGAAATGCACGTTGACGTCAAAATGGTAGCTCGAGTAGCTCAGGCTTGTCCGTGCACTGAGTTGCCTTCCAAATTGTTGCTAAAACCGCATTGTCCTACTTCGAGTACCTTCTGGCACCAAAACGGACCAGTCTCCTTAGCATATAGTGCATACATGAATCATGAGAAGAAACAGTGCGGCAAAAAACTAGTTTGATGTCGAAACAGTAGCCCGTGTCGCCCATGACTTTCCTTGCACACTCGTGCATGTTCTGCTGTTTGGAACTCAGTATCTTCCTACCGTGTGATCCTTTTGCCACCAAATTGGTCATGCTTATGTCTAAATATAACGTATACTTGAATTATTATAAGAAAATGTGTGGTGAAATGCGCGTTGACGTGAGCGTGCTGAGCCTGAGCGTGCTGAGCCTGGTGGTGCTGGGTCTTGGGGTACTGAGCCTGGGGGTGCGAAGACTGGGGGTGCTGAGCCTGGGGGTGCGGAGACTGAGGGTGCTGAGCCTGGGGTTGCAGAGACTGCGGGTGCTGAGCCTGGGGGTACTGAGCCTGGGGGTGCTGTGCCTGAGGGTGCTGAGCCTGGAGGTCCTGAGCCTAGGGGTGTTGCGCCTGGGGGCGCTCTCTCTTCCCAGCAGCTGCGTGAGTGGTACTCTCGGTACTGTCGCCACCGTCGTGGTGCTGTGGACGTTGGAGGTGCTACTGGAGGTGGAGCTGAGGACGTCGGGCCTACTAGATTTGGTGTAGCTGCTGACCCTGGGGTTGGCGCTGGAGGTGCTGGAGCCATTGGTCCTGGAGGTGCTCGTACTGGCAGTACTAGAGCTGCCGGGACTGGGGGTGCTACTGGAGCTGCTAGAGCTGGTCCTGCTGGAGGTGCTGCTGGTGCTGCTGGAGGTACTGGAGCTGCTGGAGCTGCTGGTGGTGCTACTGGTACTAGGGCTGGTGGTGCGGCTGGTGCTGGTGCTGCTGGAGGTACTGGAGCTGCTGGAGGTTCTACTAGTGCTGGTCCTACTGGAGGTGCTGCTGGTGTTGCTGGAGGTACTGGAGCTGCTGGCGATACTGAGGGAGTTGGAGCTGCTGCTGGAGGCTCTGGTGCTGTCTCTGCTGGTTCTGGGGGCACTTCACGGCCACAGCCGTACTTCGTTCCCCTCCTTCAGCAGGTTCTTGGTCAGTCGCCTCCTCCTTGTCCGGCTCCCTCCTTAGAGTGCCCTCCACCTGTCCAGTCGTTGTCACAGCTACCGCCTGCCTCGCCACTCCCAGGTCCTTCTCCCTACACTGGTCCGACAGGAGGTCTTACGGAGCGTCGTGAGCATGAGTCTCGTCCTGCGTTGCCTGAGTCTCGTTCTGCGTCACCTATTCGTGCTGCTCGCACTGGTCGTCGTGTCCCGCGTCAGCGTCCTCCTGCTGTCCCAGGCACTCACCAGATGACGCTTCGTCCTTCCACTGCTCCACAGCGTGTCCCTCTGCCTTCTCCTCCTGTGTCCTCTCTTCCTGCCCTTGCTGACCCGGAGTCTGACTCTCTTCGTGCTGCTAGTCCTACTGTCACGCGTCTCCTGGCCTCTGCTGTCACTGACCCTTCTTTTGAGTCAGCTACTGCATCTGCCTTAGTTGCTGAGCTTGTCAACTTTGCTACTCACTGTCGTCTAGACTATGCTACGAGTCTTGTTGCTGAGTCTGAGTCTGAGTCTGTCTGTCCTCCGTCCGTCGGGGGTGAGTGTGCTCTTAGCACGGACGTCCTTGAGGATAAGCCAGGAGGAGTTTGAGTGCTTTGCCGCTGCTGTACCTCATCTCGTGTCCATGCTGATTGCACCTGAGAGAGACCCGGATGCACCAAACATCCCGACCCCGCGCTCTTACGCTGAGGCGATCGCGGGTGAGTACTCCTCTTAGTGGCAGACAGCCATGGACGCAAGGATGGCATCCTAGAAGTCCACTGGCACTTACTTTGACGAGGTTCACCCACCTAGGGCGAACATCGTCAGTGGCATGTGGATTTTCAGGGTGAAGCGGCCGTTAGGTTCTCCGCCTGTCTTCAAGGCTCGTTACGTTGCTCGAGGGTTCAGTGAGCGAGAGGGAGTAGACTTCTTCCAGAACTTCTCCCCCACCTCGAATATGACCACTCTTCGGGTGCTGCTGCACGTTGCCGCTCAACGTGACTACGAGCTTCACTCTCTTGACTTCCGCACAGCTTTCTTGCAGGGCAGCCTGCACGAGGAGATCTGGCTGTGCCGCCCCCCTGGCTTCACTGGGTCGTTCCCTCCTGGTACCCAGTGGAGCCTCCGGCGGCCGGTCTACGGTCTCCGCCAGGCGCCAAGTGAGTGGCACGACACACTGAGGACTACACTTGCGGCTCTTGGGTTTGCGCCTTCTATTGCTGACCCGTCGCTGTTTCTACGCACCGACACTTCGCTGCCACCGTTCTACATCCTCGTGTACGTCAACGACTTGGTCTTTACCACTGCTGACACTGAGGCTCTCGCCCTGGTGAAGTCGGAGCTGCAGAAGAGACACACGTGCACAGACCTGGGTGAACTGCGCAGCTACCTTGGCTTGCAGATCACCCGGGACAGAGCACGCCGCACCATCACACTGACTCAGTCACACATGGTGCAGCAGGTCCTTCAGCGTTTCGCCTTCACCTGGTCCTCGGCACAGGCCACTCCTCTGGCTACAGGTCGCTCGCTCTCAGCTCCACATTCGGACGAGTCCGTAGAGCCGAGTGGTCCTTACCCAGAGCTAGTTGTCTGCCTCATGTACCTGATGACTTGCACTCGTCCTGACCTCGCTGTCAAACTTATATGCTATACTCTGGGTAGGCTGTAGTGGGGTTGACAATATGGGGTACAACACTTTTAGCTTTTCCTACTTGTACCCACCTGTTTCCTAGTGCATTCATTCCTCGTTATTCTCACATGGTATAGAGCAGGTTCCCTAGTGGGACCGTTTCTTCCTAAGGGCCCACCATAAAAAAAAAAAAAAAAAAAAAAAAAAAAAAAAAAAAAAAAAAAATCCTAACCTGCTTGAAGCGCGCCTCGCGCTCTGACCTGCCCTACCCTTTCACGGCCCCTTAGTGGCCTGCCCTGCTCCTGAGGCCCGTCTCGGCCCCTTAGCGGCCCCTTCGTGGCTCCTTAGCGGCCCCTTCGCGGCCCCTTCGCGGCCCCTTCACGGCCCCTTCGCGGCCCCTTAGCGGCCCCTTCACGGCCCCTTCACCGCCCCTTAGCGGCCCCTTCGCGGCCCCTTCACGGCCCCTTCGCGGCCTTCGCAGCCCCTTCACGGCCCCTTATCGGCCCCTTCGTGGCCCCTTCGCGGCCCCTTCGCGGCCCCTTCACGGCCCCTTCGCGGCCCCTTCGCGGCCCCTTCACGGCCCCTTCGCGGCCCCCTCGCGATTCCCTTTGCGGCCCCTTCGCGGCCCCGGCCCGCTGCCCGTTGCGGCCCCGCCCTGTCGCCAGTCGCGGCCCCGCCCCGACGCCAGTCGCGGCCCCGCCCCGTCGCCAGTCACGGCCCCGCCCCGTTGCCCCTGCCACGTCGCCCCGCCTGCTACTGCTGACAGCACTGTTCGCTCACAGTGGGCCACACGCGATGCTGCTGCACGCCTTGCTGTGCGTCGCCACTTACCGACCACTGAGCGTGCGCACTTTAGCCAGTACAAGAGTGCTAAGACCTTGTACGACGCTGTAATTGCACGCTACAATTCCCCTGCCACTGCTGCACTTAGCTGCCTCATGCTGCCGTACCTGCTCCCTGACCTTGCTGCCTTTCCCACAGTCGCTGACCTCATTACGCACCTCCGCACTAGTGACACTCGCTACCGCGCTGCGCATCTCGCTGAGTTCTGTGTCAAGAACCCCACCCCCCATGTACATCACCCTCTACTACATAGTCACCCTGCTGTCTGACTCCCTTCGCTTAGTCAGGGACCACTTCCTCTCAGTTTGCCCCACCACACTCACCGTTGACCTCCTCGAGGAGCGCCTCCTAGTAGCAGAGAAGAGCATAGTCGCTGTAGGAGCCTCTCGTGGTGACCCTCGCATCCCCGTCTTTGAGGGGTGTTCTCCCTCCCCCCTCTTGCCCTCTGTTGCTTCTGCTGCTGCGTCCGACCTCGTTGGTTTCGAGTCGGTAGGCGATGCGTCTATCCCTAGCGAGAAGCGCCGCACCAGCAAGGGCTAGGGGGGCAAGGGAGCTGGGGGGGCCAGTTGGGGCAGTGGAGGTGGTGGTGGAGGCAGTGGAGGGGGTGGGGGTGGTGGTGGGAGTGGTGGTGGGGGTGGAGGTGGCGGTGGCAGCAGTGGAGGCGGAGGAGGCGGCGGTGGTGGCGGAGGGAGCGGAGGCGGCGGCGGTGGCGGAGGAGGCGGAGGTGGCGGAGGCGGCGGAGGTGGCGGTGGAGCTGGTCGCGGCTCTGCACAGAGGAGTGGCTCCGGTGGTGGTCCGCGCGAGCTGTAGCAGCGCAGTAGTGAGACCCTGTCCCCTCAGCAGCTTCGTGAGTGGTACGCTGCGCGTCAGCGGGGTGGGGGTACTGGTCCCTGCACCTACGTCCTTCATACAGACGACCGCGCTGGTGAGCAGTACGGAGGCGCACACTCCTCCCAGCACTGCTTCAGCCGCCTGATGGACGCTTGGCGTCATCAGTTCCCTGGCTCCCCAGAGATCCCTCGCTGGGGAGAGCTCTCTAGGGCGGGGGTTGCCATCTTTGATATTGACTATGATGCTATTCTTGCTGCCATGTATGCTGTGACTGTTAGTGATGAAGGTGACTGTTACCTGTGTGTTCCGCCTGACCTGGGCATTGAGGCTGCTGCTCTAGGTGCTAGTGAGGCTGCTTCTCCAGGTGCTAGTGCGTCTGCTGCCCCAGGTGCTGGTGAGTCTGCTCTCTCAGGTACTACGTCGGCTCAGGCCTTGCACACCTTCACCCTTGACTCGGGTGCTTCCCGCTCCTTCTTTCGAGACTGCACCATGCTTACGCCGCTTAGTCGGCCGGTTGCGGTCTCCCTGGCGGACCCCTTTGGGGGTCTTGTCCTTGCTAGCTTCTCCACTGCCTTACCGTGTCCGGCAGCCCCCTCTGGCACTCTGTCAAGTCTCTTCCTCCCCTCGTTCTCTACGAACTTGGTGAGTCGAGCTGATCTACAGGATCGGGGGGTTGACCAGTTCACACCTGCGAGTCAGCTAGTGACCCACTATACGTGTGCTCGGACGGGCCGACACTTGGCCACGTTTACCCTTCAGCAGGGGCCGAGCCAGTACACACTGACCACGGAGTGTCCTCCTGTTCCTGAGTCTGGTCAGGTAGCTGCGTCGGGTCAGGTGTTTACTGCAGCGTCCAGGTCTGTTCCTGAGTCTGCGCCCTGCTCGTGTCGTCTCCTGTCCCACCAGACTCTCCTCTGGCACCACCGCCTTGGTCACCCCTCCCTGCCTCGTCTCCAAGGCATGGCCTCCCGTGTCCTTGTCTCTGGTCTCCCCCGGTCCCTCCCTCCCCTACCTCCGGGGCCGGCCCCTACCTGCGTCCCCTGCGTCGAGGGGCGGCAGCGCGCCGCTCCTCACTCCTCCGAGTTTCCTCCGACAGAGGCTCCTCTGCAGACTCTTCACATGGACGTGTGGGGCCCCGCCCGCGTCCGTGGCTAGGGTCACGAGCGTTACTTCCTGTTGTTGGTTGACGACAACTCGCGTTACACCACACTGTTCCCCTTGCGTAGCAAGGGTGACGTCACTAAGGTGCTGATTGACTGGATCCGCGCAGCTCGTCTCCAGCTCAGAGAGAGTTTCGGCTCAGACTTTCCTGTTCTGCGTCTGCACTCTGACAGAGGCGTTGAGTTTTCCTCTGCCCGTCTGGGAGCCTTCCGTCGTGCACAGGGCATCCGCCAGACCTTCACGCTTCCGGCCTCTCCACAGTAAAATGGGATTGCTGAGCGCCGCATTGGCATGGTCATGGACGTCGCTCGTACGTCCATGATCCATGCGGCTGCTCCCCATTTTCTGTGGCCGTTTGCGGTTCAGTATGCGGCGCATCAGCTCAGCCTTCAGCCCCGGGTCTCCTTGCCAGAGACCTCCCCCACCTTGCGGTGGACGGGGAAGGTTGGCGATGCGTCTGCGTTTCGGGTCTGGGGATCTCAGGCGTTTGTCTGCGACTTGTCTTCGGACAAGCTGTCCCCTCGTGCTATTCCCTGCGTCTTCCGTGGCTTCCCCTCTAACGCGCCTGGTTGGCGGTTCTACCACCCCACCTCGCGCCGTGTTCTATCCTCTCAAGACGTCACCTTTGACAAGTCGGTGCCTTACTACCGTCTCTTCCCCTACCGCACTGCGCCCCCCCCCCCCCGCCGCTCTTCCTTGCGCCAGGTCCTCCCCCGGTAGACCCCCTCCCCCCTCAGGGTCCTGCCCCGTCAGGTGTGTCCCAGGTAGACGCAGTTGAGCCTGTCGAGGTAGCTGTTGACTCTGGTGCTGCTAGGGGCACTGCGCCTGCGGGTGCCGGGTCTGAGGGTGCGGAGCCCGGGGGTGCTGGGTCTCGGGGTGCTGGGTCTCGGGGTGCTGAGCCTGGGGGTGCGGAGCCTGGGGGTGCGGAGCCTGGGGGAGCTGGGTCTTCTCGTGTGGCCTCTGGGTCGAGGCGGGAGCCCCTCTCTCCGCAGGAGCTGCGCGAGTGGTTTGCCCGACGCTGGAGCCGTGCTGCTGGAGCTGGAGGCACTACTGTTGCTGCTGGTCCTGGAGGTGCTCGTCCTGGCGGCTCTAGAGCTGCTGGGACTGGGAGTCCTGCTGGGGGTGCCACTGGAGCTGGAGCTGCTGGAGCTACTGGAGCTGGTGCTCCTAGAGCTGGAGCTGCTGGGGGTGTTGGCGCTGGTGGTTCTGCAGGCGCTGGTTGTTCTGAGGGTGCTGGAGTTGGCACTGTTGGAGCTGGAGGTGCTGCTGGCGTTGGTGCTGCCGCTGGGGGTACTGGTGCTGTCCCTGCTGGTTCTGGAGGCGTTGCGCGGCCGAAGCCGTACTTCGTTCTGCTTCTTCCCAGCCTGCTCCTCCCTACACTGGTCCTACTGGAGGTCTTGTTGAGCATCGTGAGCCTGCGTCTCGTCCTGCGTCGCCTGTTCGTGCTGCTCGCACTAGTGGTCGTGCTCCGCGTACACGTCCTCCTGCGGTCCCCGGCACACACCAGATGGCACTGCGTCCTTCCACTGCTCCTCTGCGTGTCCCGTTGCCGTCTCCTCCAGAGTCCTCTCTTCATGCTCTTGCTGACCCTGAGTCTGACTCTCTTCGTGCTGCCAGTCCTACTGTCACGCGTCTCCTGGCTACTGTTGTCACTGACCCTTCTTTTGAGTCCACTGCTATGTCTGCCTTGGTTGCTGAGCTTGTGGAATTTGCTGCTCGTTGTCGTCTAGACAACGCTGCTAGTCTTGTAGCTGAGTCTGAGTCTGTCTGTGCTCCTTCCGTCGGGGGTGAGTGTGCTCTTTGCACGGACGTCCTTGAGGACAGGCAGGAGGAGTTCCATTATTTTGCTGCTGCTTTGCCTCATCTCGTGTCCACGCTGATTGCCCCTGAGGGAGACCTGGATGCACCAGACATCCCGACTCCTCGATCGTACGCTGAGGCGATCGAGGGTCCCTACTCCTCATAGTGGCAGTCAGCCATGGATGCAGAGATGGCTTCCTAGAAGTCCACATGCACCTACGTTGACGAGGTTCCCCCACCTGGGGCGAACATCGTCAGTGGCATGTGGATCTTCAGGGTGAAGCAGCCGCCGAGTTCTCCGCCTGTCTTCAAGGCGCGTTACGTGGCTCAAGGCTTCAGTCAGCGGCAGAGAGTTGACAACTTTCAGACCTTCTCTCCCACCCCGAAGATGACCACTCTTCGGGTGCTGCTGCACATAGCAGCTCAGCGCGACTACGAGCTTCACTCCCTTGACTTCAGCACAGCTTTCCTGAAGGGCAGCCTGCACGAGGAGATCTAGCTGGGCCGCCCACCTGGCTTCACTGGGTCGTTCCCTCCTGGTACCCAGTGGAGCCTCCGGCGGCCAGTCTACGGTCTCCGCCAGGCGCCCCGTGAGTGGCACGACACACTGAGGACTACACTTGCGGCTTTTGGGTTTGCTCCTTCTACTACAGACCCGTTGCTTTTTCTGCACACCGACACCTCTTTGCCGCCGTTCTACATCCTCGTGTACATCGATGACTTGGTCTTCGCCACTACTGACACTGCTGGACTCGCCTACGTGAAGTGCGAGCTGCAGAAGAGACACACGTGCACTGACCTGGGTGAACTGCGCAGCTACCTTGGATTGCAGATCACCGGGACAGAGCACAGCGCACCATTACCCTGACTCAGTCACACATGGTGCAACAGGTCCTTCAGCGCTTCGACTTCACGTACTCCTCGCCTCAAGCCACTCCTCTGTCTACTCGCCACTTGCTCTTAGCTCTGCCTTCGGATGAGTCCGTAGAGCCGAGTGGCCCGTACCCAGAGCTTGTTGGCTGCCTCATGTACCTGATGACCTGCACACGACCTGACCTAGCATACCCTCGTAGCATCTTGGCACGCTATGTGGCTCTTGGGAGACACCGACCAGAGCACATGGCTGCAACAAAGAGGGTGTTGCGCTACTTGTGCAGTACGTCGTTCATGGGGCTAGTGCTTGGAGGGCGACATCCAGTGGTCCTCACTGGTTACGCAGACGCTTCTTGGGCTGACGACCAGGCTACGCAGCGGTCGTCACAGGGTTACACCTTCAGCCTTGGTTCCGGCTCTGTGTCTCGTGGCGGGCTACTCGCTCGTCTTCTGTTCTCGGCTCCAGTTGTGAGGCTGAGATCTACGCAGGGGCCATGGCTGCACAGGAGCTTCGCTGGCTCACCTACCCGCTGACTGACCTCGGAGAGCAGCCTCGTTCTCCTCCAGTTCTGTACGTAGACAACAAGGCCATGCTGGCCTTGTGTCGGGAGCACAGACTGGAGCACAGAACGAAGCACATTGCTCTTCGCTACTTCCTTGCTCGTGAGCTGCAGCAGCGGGGTCGGCTGCGCCTTGCTTACGTGGCCTGTGAGGCCAACATTGCTGATATCTTTACCAAGGCACTTCCGCCTTGTGATCATCAGCGCTTGTGTACTTTGCTAGATCTTATGCCTACTTGGCCTCACTTGCTCACCTCTTGAATTTGCTTGTACTGTGATCTATATATACCTGCACTTGCATGCATACTCTTGCTAGGTTGTGATCACTGCCTTGCTTGTTCTTCTTGATGTATAACTCCGCTTGTGAGCTGGCCTTGTGGCCTTGTGCTTGTGCTCAGATTGTGTGGTGACGTTGTGATCCACCCTGGGCTTGTCTTGCTTCTCTTGACTGGTCTTGTGACCCCCTGTTCTCCCCCACTTTGCCTATGGGGGTGTGTCGAACTATATATGCTATAGTCTGTTTAGGCTGTAGTGGGGTAGTCAATATGGGGTACAACACTTTAGGGTTTCCTACTTGTACTCCTCATGCTGCTCAATGCAATCATTCCTTCCTCGGATTCTCACAGGGTCAAGCATCTAACATATGCTAAACATGCTGGACATGTTTGGTGTCAAACGCATCACGTTTGGTAGGGAGATATGAAGCGAAGAAACTTGCGAGCAAGGAAAACCGTGCAAGGATATGCTTGTGCTATTACGCGGTGCCAAATTTATGTCAGTTTGTTATTTCTAACAATGTTTCTTTTTATCATCCAGACATTTTCTATATTGTAAGCACGCTAGACTGTTTTGGTGTCATGCGTGTTAGAATCCCAACCACTAACCACTGGGATAAAAGGGCTTTTTTAGTAGCGGGTCAGTGCGCCCATAACCCCCCAGGCCAACGTGCCTGTAACCCTTCCCTAGGATCAATCGGGGATCACCAGTGGACCTCTGACACTCCCCCGCACTGGGATGCCCGAAGTGCATACACCGGGATTCGAACTCGAGACCTTCGCTCTGATACCATGTCAGAATCCCAGCCACTAACCACTGGGATAAAAGGGCTTTTTAAGTAGCGGGTCAGTGCGCCCATAACCCCCCAGGCCAACGTGCCCGTATCCCTTCCCTAGGATCAATCGGGGATCACCAGTGGACCTCTGACAATGCGCACCATCTTGTAGGGAACATATATGTGTTAAATAATTGTGGATGGAAACCGTACAACGTTCGGCAATTGATCTCGAATAAATTGTCAAATTATATGATTTATATAATTTAGGTTTAGGTTTTGTAGGGGTGTTTCTTAGGGGGTACAACTTTTCTCTCGTCACTTTTGTACCCCATGCCCCAAACTAGTCGACATCATTCCTCTCTCACCTTGACATGGTATAGAGCAGGAAGGTTCCTAGGAAGGGCCCACCACGTTTAAGAAATTTTTTTCTGCCCGGAGCGCGCTTTGCGTTTCCCCTAGTCGCGCCACGGGCGCTTTCTCCTCGACGGCCAGTTGCGGCCGTTTCTTTCTTCGTTTTTCCCGGCCCCTTTGTTGGCCCCGCGCGACTCTCTCACGGCCTCCCCCCCCTCCTTTTTTTTTTTTTCCACGGCCGTGTCGTGACTCTGTCGCGCCTTTTGCGGCGTCGCTGCCGCCCAGCCGCGGCCTCGTCGCCGCCGATTCGCGGCCTTGTTGCCGCCGGTTTGCGGCATGGTCGCCACTGCAGCTGCAGCAGCAGCAGTCGCCGCGCCATCTGCAGCAGCCGCCGCTGCATCTCCAGCAGCAGCCGCAGCCACACCTTCTGCAGCGGCCGCCGCGTCATTTCCTGCAGCATCAACGGCCGCATTGTCTGCAGTAGCCGCCGCTGCATTTTCAGCAGCAGCAACTGCCGCTTCTTCTGCAGCAACTGCCGCTGCATTTCCAGCAGCAGCAACTACTGCACCCTCTTCAGCGGCAACTGCCGCATCTTCAGCAGCAGCCGCCGCTGCATCTACAACAGCAGCAGCTGCTGCATCTTCTCCAGCGGCTCCTTCCGCATCTTCAGCAGCAGCCGCCGCAGCATCTCCTGCAGCAGCAGCTGCCGCATCTTCATCAGCAGCCGCCGCAGCATCTACTGCAGCAGCAGCTGCCGCATCTTCAGCAGCAGCCGCCGCAGCATCTACTGCAGCAGCAGCTGCCACATCTTCAGCAGCAGCCGCCGCAGCATCTCCTGCAGCAGCAGCTGCCGCACCTTCTGCAGCAGCAGCCGCCGCCACCTCCTGCAGCGACAACTGCCGCATCTACTGTAGCAGCAGCCGCCGCCACATCCTACAGCGGCAACTGCCGCATCTTCACCAGCAGCCGCCGCAGCATCTACTGCAGCAGCAGCTGCCACATCTTCTGCAGCAGCAGCCGCCGCTATCTCCTGCAGCGGCCGCCGTAGCTACATCAGCATCAGCCGCCGCTGCCTCTGCAGC